CATCGGAAGAAGGCACCTTCTCTTCTCTTCTCTTTTTGTTCGGCGATCGTCCTCGATCTTGTTCTTCTGCCGCTGCCGCCGCCAAAGCTCACTTTCACGAGCGTCAACAGAAGAGTAAAACAAGATATCGCTTCAACCGCTGACCTTTTCGAACACTCTAGACTGAAGACTGGAGGATGACTCGATGATGAGCATCACGTTCTGTTTATGAAAGAAAGAGAGAGAGAGAGAGGATCCTGATTCTCTTTCTCTCCTGTCGCCGCCGCCGCTGCCGCATCAATCGGCCCAACCTTCGCTTTCTCGCTCATTTACACACACACACACTCACCAAATCTGCTCTCCTTTTTTCCACTAAATCGTGGGCGCCTCTGAATCCCCTAAGCTCTTCGACTTCTCATCCCTTTCTTTTCATAATACAGACTCAGACATTGCCAAAGCATTGCCGATTAGCAGCAGCCGCCTGGATCCTCATCCTCTTCCACCAAAATCTGACGGGCATCAAGTGAGACAGAAGAGACGGACAGAGAGAAGGAGATCAGACATGCCATCCTCCTCTTCTGCGAACACATCGGCATTATCACCACCACCACAGCCATACACACCTGTGCAACAACAATAGTCAGTCANTGGGCGCCTCTGAATCCCCTAAGCTCTTCGACTTCTCATCCCTTTCTTTTCATAATACAGACTCAGACATTGCCAAAGCATTGCCGATTAGCAGCAGCCGCCTGGATCCTCATCCTCTTCCACCAAAATCTGACGGGCATCAAGTGAGACAGAAGAGACGGACAGAGAGAAGGAGATCAGACATGCCATCCTCCTCTTCTGCGAACACATCGGCATTATCACCACCACCACAGCCATACACACCTGTGCAACAACAATAGTCAGTCAATAGCATCAGCATCAGCAGCAACGGTGTCGTCGCTCGCCGCGCGCGCGATTAGTCTCAGCCTCCACAGAAACAGTACAAGCAGCACTGTGTGTCCTGCACACACATCCTCCACTACAACACACACACACAGCCTCTTCATTCCTCTTCTTCCTTTCTGCTCTGCTCTTTCCCGCTCGCTGATTGATCATCACCATCATCGCGATCACCATCACCACCATCACCACCACCTCCTATATAAATCGACCATCTCGGCGGCAAAGGCAATCAGTACAGGGCTTCTCCTTCTCAGAGCAACGTCGTCGTCGTCGCCGTTTTCTCAGTTTCATTTCAGTTTGTTCTAGTTTAAGTGTGCTATTAGTGTTTTTCTGTTCTTCGAAGTCAGACCTTCCTCTTTCTCTCCTCCTCTTTCCCCCTCTCCAACATCTGCAACATGTGTGGTAAGTCTTTCTTGTCTTGTTGTTTGCTCTACTTTGCTGGTGCTAAGATGCTACTTCAGCAGCTGCTGCTGTTAGGTTGTTGTGACAGTTGTGACAGTTTGTGATAGCCAGCCAGCCAGCCAGCCAGCAGAAGTCTCTTGCCAGAAAAGTTGGGTAGTTGCACTTTTGGGGTTTCCTTTGGGGTAATCTGTTATCTTGCTAGAAAAATAAGCTAGGAAATGTAGTAGCTTTCTCCAGTGGTGAANGTTGTTGTGACAGTTGTGACAGTTTGTGATAGCCAGCCAGCCAGCAGCAGTCTCTTGCCAGCAAAGTTGGGTAGTTGCACTTTTGGGGTTTCCTTTGGGGTAATCTGTTATCTTGCTAGAAAAATAAGCTAGGAAATGTAGTAGCTTTCTCCAGTGGTGAATCGCGCTGCCATTTATTAGCCAGCCAGTTCTAGCAAAGGCAAACACTTCGAGGTCATCTGTTCAATGTGGAGAAAGCATTGTCCAGCATCCATTTTTATACTCTTTACAGCGAGCGCTCATTTACCACAATTAGGCTGCCCTGTCGCTTCTGCAGTTCTTTGCTGTACTCTGTACTGTAAACGAGCCGATTTCTTCTTCCCAAGAACTTGCACTACCGTACAGCTACTGTCATGTACACAAGCTTACTAAATAGCTTTGGCGGCAGCTTTGGATGCCAGCGGCGAGGGATGGTGAGCAGGAGGCAGGCAGGCCAGGCCAGGCCACCTCATCACTACCACTAAACAGATTGATTGCTCTAAATTGCCACGTTTGTGGAGTGAAGTGCTCTGTCTTTGAATTGCAAATGGCCCGTTGCAAATGAACAAAAAAAAATCAGCAGCAGCAGCGGCAGGCTCGAATGCAAACACGGCTGCCACTACTGCCATCATTGATATCATCAGCCATTAGACATTTGCTGCTGCCTGTCTGCCGTCTGTGCCTATCGGCAATGAAACAACGGCAGAAACACATTTTGCTTACAACTTACTACAGTAGCAGCCGCTATCAGCTATTTACAGAGACGGAACACACACAGACTGACAGACAGACACAGACAGACACTAGAAAAAGGCATTTGCATTTATCTTTCGANGCTGCCATCATTGATATCATCAGCCATTAGACATTTGCTGCCTGTCTGCCGTCTGTGCCTATCGGCAATGAAACAACGGCAGAAACACATTTCGCTTACAACTTACTACAGCAGCCGCCGCTATCAGCTATTTACAGAGACGGAACACACACAGACTGACAAACAGACACTAGAAAAAGGCATTTGCATTTATCTTTCGATTTGTTTTCCATTTTTCTTCCCACCCCTCCTCCCCTCCCTCCCTCACTGTCATGGGCAGGCATTTTCGCGTATCTGAACTACCTCGAGCCGAAGAGCCGCCGGGAGATACTGGAGCTGCTGATTCGAGGGCTGCAGCGCCTCGAGTACCGCGGCTACGACTCGGCGGGCGTCGCCTTTGACCGCGACGACAAGACCATTGAGATCATCCGCGCCAAGGGCAAGGTGAAGGCGCTGGAGGAGGCGATTTGGAGCAGGGCGGCGGAGGCGGCCGCCGACTTTGACCTCGAGCACCAGTACCCGGTGCACGTGGGCATTGCGCACACGCGCTGGGNCATCTGGAGCCGGGCGGCGGAAGCGGCCGCCGACTTTGACCTCGAGCACCAGTACCCGGTGCACGTGGGCATTGCGCACACGCGCTGGGCCACCCATGGCGCCCCCAGCGAGCACAACTCGCACCCGCAGCGGTCGGACGCCGGCAATGAGTTTGTCGTCGTCCACAATGGCATCCTCACCAACTACAAGGACATTAAGAAGTTTCTGGTGAGGGAGAGAGAGGAAGGGGAAGGTTTTGAGGTATCTAAAAAAACTAATTTTGTTATTAATTTTTGTTGCAGGAGAAGAAGGGCTTCACCTTCGAGTCGGAGACGGACACGGAGGTGATCGCCAAGCTGATCAAGCACCTCCACGAGACGCACCCGAAGATGCAGTTTCGCGAGCTGGTCGAGCAGGTCATTCAGCAGCTGGTGAGTAGTAGTCCTTTGGATAAAGGTGCTTTTCCCAAAAGATTTCCAACCCTCTTTATCAATCACTGATCACAGGAAGGCGCCTTTGCCATCGCCCTGAAGAGCAAGCACTTCCCCGGGGAGTGCGTCGCCACGCGACGCGGCAGCCCCCTCCTCGTGGGCATCAAGACGAAGAACAACCTGACCACCGATCACATTCCCATTATCTTCAGCAGTAAGGGTAAGTGCTTCTGCACACTGCAGTGTGTGCACTTTTTGATACACACTCGAAGTTTTATCACTTAGTTGACTAATACCCTTGAAGTACCCTTGCACTTCCTATTTGAAGTCCCTCCTCCTCTTAGCGAACACTTAGTGACTAACTTTCTTCCAATTTCACCTTAGTTTTTATTAACCATCTAACCTTTGCCCCCTTTTTTAATTTCCCACTCATTCACTTCATTAACCCCCATCATTGACAACCACCGCCCCCAAAAAAACTGACCCACCCCAATTCTTAAACTTCTTCAGAGAAAGCAAAGCTCAAGCTGTGCGCCTCAAACTCTCTGACTGGCGGCGGCAGCGGTGGCGAAGAGTGGAGCTACCACTCGCCCCTCAGCCGCCAGAACAGCTCCCGCTCAGCAGAGGGCGACGAGAATGGTAAATTAAAAATGAAAATACTGGAGCTTAAAAAATGTCGTCAAACTGTTGATCTTGTCTTTTATCTTGCACTGTTGTCCTTGTCATGTTTGTTGCATGTTTTTCACGCCCCTAACACGCCCTCTAAAACCCTTCTTACTTATCAATGCACTGCAACATTTTTTTGGCTAATNGGCAGCGGTGGCGGCGAAGAGTGGAGCTACCACTCGCCCCTCAGCCGCCAGAACAGCTCCCGCTCAGCAGAGGGCGACGAGAATGGTAAATTAAAAATGAAAATACTGGAGCTTAAAAAATGTCGTCAAACTGTTGATCTTGTCTTTTATCTTGCACTGTTGTCCTTGTCATGTTTGTTGCATGTTTTTTTCACGCCCCCAACACCATCTAAAACCCTTCTTACTTATCAATGCACTGCAACATTTTTTTGGCTAATAATCTTTGCTTTTGTTTCTCCCCGCCTTTTTGCACTCCCCTCTACTGCTTCTTCTTCTTCTTCTTCTTCTTCTTCTTCTTCTGCACCTTCTACCTCTTCTACCTCTTCTACCTCTTCTACCTCTTCTACCTCTTCTATCTTCTCGCCTGGCATTATCTTCTTCCTTCTTGTGCTTTATTATTTTGTCGCTGCGCGCTTGCTTGACTGTGATGTGCCCTCTCTTTTGGCCCTCTCTGGTCGATCTGGTCTGGCGACACGCACCTTCTTCTTCTTCCTACTTCTTCCTCTCTGAACTGGGAATGCTTAAAAACTCGCTCAAATTGCGCGCGCGCAGAGTCGGCTAAGCAGGCGTCAGGCGGTGAGAAGGCGATGAAAGGTATTTCTTTGTTGTTTGTTTCTTGCTTGCACACCTTTTTTTCCTTTAGATTTTCCTTTTGTTTTGCTTTTTGGAGTTTTGTCCTTGTTTTTTTTCGTCTTTCCTGTTCTTTTTTGAGTCAGTCCTGTCACATTTCTCTGTCATCCATGATTTCTAAGCTTTCAATGTAGACTAAAACTCCCCCTTTTTTTCCCACCATATATTCCCTTCTAGACAACCGATTCAACAATCTGACGAGCAGCGCCGTGGTGGGCGGCAAGCTGGCCCGCTCCAACTCGACCACTGAGTTCATTCCCTACNCCCCACCATCAATTCCCCTTTCTAGACAACCGATTCAACAATCTGACGAGCAGCGCCGTGGTGGGCGGCAAGCTGGCCCGCTCCAACTCGACCACTGAGTTCATTCCCTACGACGATGAGAAGGTGGTGGAGTACCTCTTTGCCTCGGACGCCAGCGCCATCATCGAGCACACCAATCGGGTGATCTTCCTCGAGGACGACGACGTCGCCTCGGTCAAGGAAGGACGTACGTTTTTGGGAGAATTTCTTTTTGGGTGTTTAGTTTATCACTAACCTCCTCTTCTCCTTTTTTCCACCAGGCCTCACCATCCACCGACTGAAGCGCAACCTGGAGGGGGCCGCGCCCACCTCGCTCACCCGCGAGATCATCACCCTGAAGATGGAGATTCAGCAGATCATGAAGGGCAACTACAGCAGCTTCATGCAGAAGGAGATCTTCGAGCAGCCCGAGTCGGTGATCAATACGATGCGCGGCCGGATTAGCTTCGAGGATGAGACCGTCGTCCTCGGCGGCATCAAGGACTTCATACCGGAGATTAAGCGCTGCCGGCGGCTGCTGCTGATTGGCTGCGGCACCAGCTACCACAGTATTATTGCGGTGAGTAGTACTTTGGTTTAAAAAACCTTTTTAATTTTAATAAAAATCTCTGCTTTTTGCAGACCCGGCAAATCCTCGAGGAGCTGACTGAGCTGCCGGTGATGATCGAGCTGGCCAGTGACTTTCTCGACCGCCTGACGCCCATCTTCCGCGACGACGTCTGCTTCTTCGTCTCGCAGTCGGGCGAGACGGCGGACACGCTGATGGCGCTGCGGTACTGCAAGGCGCGCGGCGCCCTCATCGTCGGCATCACCAACACCGTGGGCAGCAGCATCTGCCGGGAGTCCCATTGCGGCGTGCACATCAACGCCGGCCCGGAGATCGGCGTGGCCAGCACGAAGGCCTACACCAGCCAGGTGATCAGCCTGGTGATGTTTGCACTGGTGATGAGCGAGGATCGGATCAGTATGCAGCCGCGCCGGAGCGAGATCATCCAGGGGCTGAAATCGCTGCCGGAGCTGATTAAGCAGGTGCTGCAGCTGGACGAGCAGGTGCTGGAGCTGTCGCGGGAGCTGTTTAAGCAGAAGTCGCTGCTGTTGATGGGACGTGGGTGGAACTACTCGACGGTGCTGGGTAAGTCTAGAGGAATTGTTTTTTTTGTTTTTTAATAATTTTTNTAAGCAGAAGTCGCTGCTGTTGATGGGCCGTGGGTGGAATTATTCGACTGTGCTGGGTAAGTCTAGAGGAATTGTTTTTTTTGTTTTTTAATAATTTTTTCTTCTTTTGTGTTGCAGAGGGCGCTCTGAAGATCAAGGAGCTGACGTACATGCACTCGGAGGGCATTCTCGCCGGCGAGCTGAAGCACGGCCCCCTGGCCCTGATCGACCAGGCGATGCCCGTCATCATGGTGGTGATGCGCGACTCCGTCTACCCGAAGTGCATCAACGCCCTCCAGCAGGTGCTCGCCCGGGGCAGCAACCCCATCCTCGTCGTGGAGGAGGGCGACACCGAGACGGAGAGGTACGTGACGAAGGACGGCAAGGAGGAGCGGAACAGCGACCGGACGCTGGCCATTCCCCACACGGTGGACTGTCTGCAGGGCATTCTGACGGTCATTCCCCTGCAGCTGCTCTCCTACCACATTGCCGTCCTCAGGGGCTGCAACGTCGACTGTCCGCGGAATCTGGCCAAGTCGGTCACTGTGGAGTGAGTAGAGAAGAAGACCCCGAAGGTCAAAGATCCAAAAGTGTTTTTTATTGAGGATATTTTTGCAAACAGTGGAACAAAATGTGCTTGTGTGTGTCTGTGCAAAAGTGTGTGTTGGTTTATTTTGTATTGCCCTTTTCTTTATTCATACAAACGATGCTTTTATTATTAATTGTGTACTACTGAACACACACAGACGCAAACAACTACTACTGTGTTTCTAAATGTAATACTACTCGATTACTCTATTTTCTCTTTTTTATATTTAACTGCTATTATGATATGTCGTCGAGGTTTATCTTTCTTTTTTTCTTTCAAATATATTGTGTTTTGTTGCTGATGTGCACTTGTGTTTCTTTTGTGGTTTGGTAAAAAAGAAGTGTTGATATTGACAGGATTTGTTGGTGACTGGTGGTGGAGAGGAAAGGCAAATTCTGGTGGATTAATGGGAAATTGATGCTTCTAAAATGCTTTGTGTTGTGCGGTAAGTGGAGAAAGAGAGGGTGAGGAGCTTTTATGTACACTAGTGTTCTTTTTTCACCTATTTAGGGGTGTATCGANTAGTGATTTGTTGGTGGTGACTGGTGGTGAAGAGGAAAGGCAAATTCTGGTGGATTAATGGGAAATTGATGCTTCTAAAATGCTTTGTGTTGTGCGGTAAGTGGAGAAAGAGAGGGTGAGGAGCTTTTATGTACACTAGTGTTCTTTTTTCACCTATTTAGGGGTGTATCGACAGAGGAGAGAGCAAGAGCAAAAACAAGAGCAAGAACAAGAACTGAACAAAAGCGGAGGTGAGAGACCGACTTTTCTGGCTACTTTTGGCACGTGACATTCACCGCGTGATATTGGAGGTGTAGAAGGTGGGAAAGTTGTAAAAGAGGAAGAAAGAAGGATGAAGAGAAAGAGAAAGACCAAAATCAAAACAGAAAAAAAGAAGAAAGTGCTGTTTCCTTGAAATGGACTCAGTTCTACTGAACTCGCCCACCACCACCGCCGCCTAAATTGCCCCACCACCACCACCACCGACTGAGGGCGAGACTGAGGATAAGGCAGATGAGGTGAAGTGCTGCAGTGCTGCCCGCCGGCCTGACGGCCACCGCCCCGTCCTTGTTGCAGCCATCGCCGGTGCAGCAGTAGACGCAGTCCTTGTCGGAGGAGTCGCAGTTCGACTTGAAGTTGGCGAAGCCCTCCGCCAGGCCGCGCAGGTGACAGGGCGCCAGGGCGCACTCCTTCTTGATGTGACGCCCGTCGGGAGCTAAGGATGGGGATTTATGAGGGTTTGCGGAACAAAAGGAGTTTAGAACTTCAGTATAAAATTCCTTTTTTTCCTGAAAACCAACTTACGATTCTTGTAGATGAGCGTCATGCAGCGGTCGTAGACCTGGTCGTTTGGGCACTGCTTCTGCTCGCAGCTCTCATTGTCGTCGGTGTGGCAGATGAAGCACTGCAGGGCGCGCACCTGCTCCAGAGATACTAGGTGGGAAGTGATAATGAAGAGGGTGAAAAAATGAGGAAGAAGAAGAGGGGGTGAAAACATGAAAACTTGTGTTGGGAAAGGGAAGAGGATAAATTATTTAGCTGGCGACTAAAACTGCAAACATGGGCAGCTTTTTGCCCTGTTAGCCTGCCTTTTGGGCCTTTTTTCTGCTGTACAACGACCGAAAAGAAAGGTAAAAGGGGCAAATAGTGTACAACAGCAGCTGCAGAAGAGGAGTCAGTGGACATCAATAATGGATGGCTGCTTAGCACCCCTCTTCCTAAAATGGGAGAGCAAACTGAAAGGCTGTACGGTAATCAATTTTTCATTAGCGCCACCAGAAAAAGAAAATGGGCAAAGGAAAAGGAAAAGAGTAGTGTGGGCACAGTGTGCTCTCATCTGCTGCAGCAGCAGAAAAAGGACCACCTCAAAATCAGCTCAAAATAAAAAAAAATGGGGACCAAAAGGTTCTAAAAACAAACCAAGATGCAGCAGCAAAAAAAAGAGTTGGCTACTTACCGTAAAGCATAAAGCAAATGAGGGAGACATTGAGGGCGGCTGAACGCTGGAGGGCCACCATTTTTTGCTTGTTTGTTTGTTTGGTGAGTGGTTGAACTTTTTTGGCGATGTTTTTTTTTTTGGTATGGTACAAATCACTGCACTTCTGTAGAAGTTCGAGCTGTTCAGGATTCTGCAGTTGAACGATAACAATAAAAACTGAAGGGCTTTCACTAAATAGTCACAAACACTCGACAAGACACTAAAGTTCAGTTCAGTTCAGTTAAAAAGAAGTTCAGCAGTAGTACTAGCGGGCGATCCAATTCGACCGTCGCTGCGGGTCCTTTTCATCACACAGGCTGCCTGGAGACTGACTCGCTCAGAGAAAAAACTGCTGCTGCTGCTGCTGCTGCTGGTACTGATGCTGCAGATGTCCGCAGCCTCGATTCTTCGCCGCTCGTTTTCCGCGCCATCACCATCAGCAGAACAGCAAAGCAGCAGCAGAACCAGAGGGAAAGGCGAGAACAAATGTGAACATTTTGTTGTGTGTGTGTATTGTCGGGGGTATCGTCTTACATTCCTGCAGCATCCGCCGCCGCCGCTGATGGCTGCACCTGCGTGGGCATCAGTCCTCTTTTTTCCTTTCCTCCCTTCCTTCCTTCATTGGCTTCATTCACTGGCCACTGTTAACAGCAGCAGCAGCTTCGTCGGCTCACCTTTCCGGCTCCAGAAGAGAAGACCACGGCTGGAAACTGGATGCGGAAGGCAGTCCACCGCCGCCGCCGCCGCCGCCGCATCAAGGTGTCTGTCTGCGGGTCGACTCTCTATATATTCCGGCCGGGGCTTATTCTCACCTGCCCAATTCTGCTTATTCTGTGCTCCAACTATCCTACTGTGCTCANATATTCCGGCCGGGGCTTATTCTCACCTGCCCAATTCTGCTTATTCTGTGCTCCAACTATCCTACTGTGCTCAAAGTTGAACGTTATGTTCTTCCTTTTTGTTCAGGTGCTCTTGCTTTAGAATAAGGTTGGGTGGTATATAGCTGATGATGATGATGATGATGTTTTT